CCCATTGACCACCGGGTAGCTGATCAGATTGTTTCATTAGTCCATGTAAGATGTAGCACAATTCATCTTTAGAAGCTTATTGCAGCCATCCTACCTCGCTCATCCTAGCACTAACCCCTAAGGTTTTTACAACCGGATGCCACTACTTGTTGCAGTTTCACTCTGTCCGTATCTAGCACAGCTCTAGTCAGGATTGGCTAATCCTGATTGAGGTTGAAAGCGTTAAGCAGAACTACTGCGGCGCACACACACTATATATATACATATATATATATATATATATATATATATATATATATAACATATTAGTATTATAGATGACTTATGCAGGCAACTGTGTCTACATTTCAGTCAAAAATGTCCTCCGCTACAATGGGATAAAAAATGAAATGAAAATTCATACACAGCAATGATAAAACTTAAACAGGTGTTCATCTTTGTAGGTTTAAGATTAGTTCGTTGCGGATCTTCACCGTGTCAGCGAGAATACGAGGCAGATAGGGAACCCTTGAGTTGCGATAAACGTTTATGCGAGAGGGCAAGCAGCGAAAATTGGATTGGGTTGTAGCGTGGGAACGACAAGCGGATAAATCGGGATTAAGCGGATGACTGGGGTCAGTGAGTATCTTATGAGCGAAATTCTCACATGAAGTGATATGCAAACTACACAATTTTGTGATCAGAGTGCTTAAAAGGAATAGGAGAAACAAGGTGATAATTACTAAACCGCGACGAAGAGTAATGAAATCCTGTCTGAATAGTCCATGGAAAATAACGGGTGAACAATAAACTATGACAGGAAAAGTGCATTGATAAACAAAGGAACATACAGTTTCATGCTTCACTGGAGACCGTCGTAGCTTGCGAATTTGAAAATATACGTATAAGATACATATATAAGGCTGAAAACCTAATGCGTTAAACAAGACAGGCAATATGATGAGCGCAAATATAATTATCACTCACTTCAACCGCGGCCAAAATGCGAATTAGATTTGAGATGCCCGGTCGGCCCACTGAGTCGTAGGTGACACCTTGTAAGGAATCAGTTTGAGCACGTCGAACTTTCATGCGTATTGTATCCGGACTGTCGGTCAAAAGGACTGAGCTACCAGGACAGGCATCAGATTTGCTCATTTTCTTTGTGGGTTCTCTCAGGCTGTGTATCTGTCACATATCAAACGAAAGATTCCAATTTTCAACCTGTTTGAATTAAATGCTTTTGCAAACGTGACCATGTAAAATCAAATAGAGGGAATATTGAAACCAATGAAAGCATACCGCAATATCTTGCTTCCATGGATTATATTCATAATTAGAGAATTAATTCTCAAGAAGGGTAAAGCAGCCGAAAGGAGGGTCATCGCAGAATAGAGAGAAATGCGAAAATTAGGCGGTAGTTGGTCTGAACCATGGCCTTCAAGGCGAGGTCAAAGTGATCCACGTCATTTGACCACTGCAATGAGCCTCGACGAAAGAAATTGTTAACAGTCATTAGGAGAACAGTCACAGAGATTACGGAAGATTCCGTTTATTAATCAATTAGTGAACAGATAGCAATACGGTTGACTTTTTAGTAACTCACAAGTTGAGTGTCTGAGTTTCTGGTGATAAAGAAATGGTATTACAATCTTTTTATCGTTCACCGTTCTTGTGATTTACATGGCCAAAGAAAAATTGCTGCACCATCAATGTTTGTGAAATATGTGAATATTAGTATACGCGAACTACAAAGCAAAACAAGGAATACACACTCTGATATGATACAAAAGATGTAGAGTGATGAACAAAATAATCAAGTTGTTCTTGCACAGTAAGTTACAGTGAGAGAAATCATCGTCCCGATCGAAAGATTACGCAATATGCGAGAGTATTTAAATGAATGATTTAAGCTAAGTTCCGTACTTCACGAGTGTGTGGTTGCAAGTGGAGAGGACAAAGAGGCAAAGGGTATTCTACTATTTACTTGTCTTCCAGAATTATGATAAGTTAAAAACAGTAGATTGACATCTGAAAACAGACTAGTTTATCAGGTCAAAACCCCTTTTTTATTACACACTTTCGTGTGATGAACAGCAGACGGGTGAAGGCCCATAGTCACGAGGAACTGCTGCTCAGTGATGGAAACCGGTAACCTAAGCCCCGGGATTTGGAGTGGTGAACCACATAAGACCCCAATGGGTTAAGCATGGAACCGGACGACAGCAAAGCTGCCTACCACTGGTGAGGAAACATTCAAGGGATGGGAACAGATGAGACGAATTCAGACAGACAGGAACGACAGAAGAGCGACTAAAAAGCGAATGTGAGATGTGTTAGAAAAAAGATATTGCATTCAGTTCAAAAGGAAGCCAGAGAGAACGAAGTTCTGTTATGATACGCGCTGCCCGTGGGAAACTTTATACGTACGGTCAGACCGTTTTTCGCCCCCTACACCTAAACCATTACGTCGGAAGAAAGAACAAGCTTTCAAAGCGAAGAAGTACTCTTTGGTGATAGACCATTCGAAAGCAATCAAGGCTGAACTGTGGAGATTAAACGCCGCTTATGTACATGCACTGCTGGCAAACAGGAATTGTTGGGATACATGGAAAATGATGTTTCAGTTCTGCAAACTCAAAACGAAGGAGAATCTTTTAGCTATCAATGTGGACGATCTTAATCGCCAATTCAGCAATGCTGAAACCGACATTCCTATTCCATTCGCAGCAGTCGTCTCTGTTCCTAATGTTGTTAATTTAATTACTGATCAAACAGAAGTATTCAAAATTTTCATCAATCTGAAGTCTAATAAAGCATGCGGTCCTGATGGACTGCCACCTGCTGTGCTCAAAGAATGTGCAGTTTCCCTCTCCCCCTCCCGTTTTCACCGACCTAATCAACCTGTGTTTAACTCAACATTGAATTCCGGACTGCTGGAGAGTGGCTTCTATCACGCCAGTACCCAAAAAGGGACCGTCCAAATTTCGCCCCATTGTTTGCACTTCTGTGGGTTTGAAAGTCATGAAAAAGATTTTACTACAGATGTTGTCCCAGCTGAATGCACCTGATCCCAATCAATTGCAGTTCCAGGTCATCCATTGATGTGTTGGCATCCATTATTCATTATACCTCTTCCTCCTTGGACAAGGAATGTAAGGCTGTTCGTGTATGTTCCTTTGATTATAGTGATGCCTTTAATTGTGTTGATAGGTCCAAACTTCTTCACACTCTTTCTGAGAAAAACATTCATCCAGAGCTTACCAATCTGTCAAGTAATTAATTCACCCACCGATTGCAGTTTACTAAAGATAACTCTTCATTTTTTCTTTCCACTCAAGGAGTTCTTCAAGGGGTTATTCTCGCTCTCTTCTTGTTCAAAACCTATATTTCTTTATCGCCTGCTTTTGATGATTACTTGCTCATTAAGTATGCCGATGATGTTGTGCATGGCATGAAGTTTTCAAATTCCTCCGTATACCCGAAACGTATGCAGAATATTTCACTGCTTACTGACTGGTCTTCACAACACAATCTTAGAATGAATCCTTTCAAAAGTAATGATGCTTTTTTCTTTGCTGAAGGGTGATCAATATAGTGATGTGATGAACTCTTGTCAGCACGTCATTATCAATGGTGCACAAGTTTCCAGAGCATGCTCCGTCAAACACCTTGGAGTCAGCCGCAATCTTTCTTGATCTCCTCATGTCATTGAGGCATTTCACAAAGCCAGAAAACTTACATATAAGTTGTAATTTTGAAAATAATCGATTGTAAAATCGCCTTGATAAAGGTTACCCACGGTAACCGAGACGTCGGCTTATTTTCCCCTGTACCGACATCTCTATGTTTCAAAAATTACAACTTATATAAAACATATCACATGGCGCACCGATTTTTCGATACACCCTGAACGTTGTTCGGATCTGACACTCAGAAAACTTACCCTTTACATTATTCGTTTGAAATTGCTATCTAACCCAACTCACTTAATAAAGCGTTTTATTTTCTCTTGTATCCTTCTCCATTGGCTTAATGAATCCCGTTATATTTCCGGGTCATTTTATCAAAGACTCAAAACTCAAACGCACATCCATCAAACACGTATGTCGATACAGCGGCATATCTCGTGAACATGTTGTGCAGTTTATTATATCACAGCACCTTAGGGTTTGCCAGAAACTTTCAACCAGAATACTACTTGACCCATCTCACCCACCGTACCCTCATCTTAGTCAATGGATCTCCACATCCAGCACTCGCTCTATGTATAAGAATATAGCAGCACGCACCACAACATACAAGTCTTCCGTAATACTGTACTTGGCACGGGTTTTCACAAAACTCTTACATAAAATCTTTGCTAAATTTCCCTTATTTGTTTGTATATGTAACGTATTATCAACCGTCTTTTAAGATGCAATTTCCACAGAAGAGTGATTGTGTAGTAGCTGAATGTTCATCCGCTATGGGGCGAATTAAAGCCGCTTCCTGACTTGACTTGAAACGCCATCAAGCAGTTTCAGTTTTTACAACCATTAACCCCGCACTTTTATGCGCCGGTTTTAGTTGCTGTCTTTTGGCCGCCCCTTTGGATAAAACAGCAGAATGAAGATTGGAGTGTTGAGAGCAAATTCACGTGGGAGATAGAGAATTCATATAGACTGATTTTACAAGAATAATGAGTAGATGCATAAACACCATTGTTTGCGACACCCAGCCACATCGCTGTGTCTGTAACCGGCGGTGACCATGACCTAGGGGTCCCCAGCCAGGAAGCCTAATGGCACATGTGACCTAGTCACCTGGTTAGGATTTTCAAACCCTAATGTCAGGTCTTCGTTTGATCGCCCTTGACCTTTTTCCAACCGCTACCTGCCTCGGAAACCTATCTGGTGACATGCGTAACACATGCCCAAACCAGGGTAATCTATGGAGGTCGATCACTTGCCCCAGTGGACGACCTTGATTACCTAAAACTCTACGCCTAACCTCAGCATTGCTTGTCCGGTTACCCCACCAGACTCGTGCAATGCTACGTAGACAGCGGTGTTGGAACACCGATAATCTATTTTTATCCTGTTCCCGTAGTGGCTAAGTTTCTGCACCGTAGAGCAGTACTGGCCGAACTGCTGCAGCATATAACCAACCTTTCACAGAGGATAGGGCTGTTTCGAGAATTATATCTATCACAAAGTTGAATAGAAACGGAAAGAACAACCGCGTAAAACCCCACTTTCTGTAGTTAGCTCGGATGAAAAAGTGCCGCAAGCTCGGACTCGGCTTCGGCNCGGCTATTAGTAGAAAAGAATCGTAATATTGAAATAAACTTCTCGGGTACACCCTTTAGAGCGCGGCAGTGCCAGAGTCTAGAGAAGTCGAATGTGCGGTCGCCGTACCTGCATACTTCTAGTGGCGCAAAGGTCTACGGTGGGCTAAGTAAATCGTTCGAAACCAGGAGCGGTGTTCGTCAAGGATGCCCTCTATCGCCGTTCCTGTTCAATTTCGTCGTAGACGAAATACTGGAGAACGCACTTACTGGTCTCCAAAACGTAGGTATTGAATGGAAAGTTGGAGAAAAGCTGCGCGATTTGGAGTACGCTGACGATATCGTTTGCCCGTTAGAATGTAAGGAGGATGCGCAATGCGCTCTTGACAGGATGGCAAGTTCTGTAACTACTTTTGGCATGCGCTTTGCACCTCCGAATTGCGAAGTGATGCTACAAGACTGGGAGCCGTCTACCCCAGCGCTAATGCTTGGTA